AAAAAAGAGCAAACAATCCCATCTATGACTTGGCAAGAGATGTGAACAGAAACTTCTCTGATGAAGACAGACATATGGCCAACAAACACATGAAAAAATGCTCATCATCCTTAATCATCACAGAAATGCAAATCAAAACCACCCTGAGGGGTGGCTCCTGTGGTTCAGAGGAGTAGGACACCAGCCGCATATGCCGGAGGTGGTGGGTTTAAACCCAGCCCCGGCTGTAAACTGCAAAAAAAAAAAAAAAAAAAAAAAAACCAAAAACACCCACCCTGAGATATCACCTAACTCCAGTGAGAATATTCCCAAAGCCACAGATGCTGGTGAGTGTGTGGAAAAAAGGGAACACTTTTACACTGTTGGTGGGATTGCAAACCAATACAGCCTGTTTGAAAGAAGTATGGAGAATTCTCAAAGAACTAAAAATAAACTTTCCATTTGATCTCACAATCTCTTTTCTAGGCATCTACCCCGAAGAAAACAAAATTATTTTAGCATAAGGACATTTGCACTAGAATATTTATCACACCTCAATTCACAATTGCCAAGTCATGGAATCAACCCAGGTGCCCATCAACCCATGAATGGATTAATAGACTGTTATATATGTATACTGTGGAATACTATTCAGCCATAAAAAAGAGATTTTACATTTTTTGTACTAACCTGGATGGAGTTGGAGAACATCCTCCTTAGTAAAAGTATCACAATAATGGAAAATCAACTATCCAATATATTCAATACTAATATGAAGCCAGGACACCAACTAATACATGCTTACACAAGAGAAAAACTCAATTTAATTAGAGTTGGGGGGAGAAGGGAAGAAAAAGGAGGAGGGAGAGGGATTAGTGTGCTTCCACCTAATGGCCAAAATGTAAGGGTATATGGCATACCTCCTGGGTCAGGGGCACAACTACAACTTGGACTTTACCTAATAAATGCAAACAATGTAACTTAATTGGCTGTACTCTCATATTAATCTGAAACAAAACAAAACAAAACAGCAGAAAAAAAATCTTGACAATATGATTAAAGTTAACAACAGGTAATGTCCTAGATTCAAGGAAAAGAAAGAAGCAGAATAATTAGATCCCCTTTACTAGAACCCTGTACTGCAGGGAAGCAATTCTGCAAATGACAATATTGGTTGATGCCATTAGAATGTTTACTGCCAATTAAAAATGTATCAATATGAAATGTGCAGAATTTTATAAAGTCACTCTAGTTATGTACAAGAATATATTTCTTCATAGGAAATACACAATAAAGTATTAAAAGGTAAAGGGGAATGATGTTTGCAATTTATTCTTGAATAAGAAGTAATAAAGTATGTCTATGAAGAAAAAAGAAAATGTTAAATCAAATACAGCAAAATGTTAAATTTGGTGAATCTGGGCAAAGGATACATATAAGTCCTCTGTACAATTCTTGTAACATTTTTATAAATTTCAAATTATTTCAAAATAAAGAGCTAAGCAAAAGTAATACCAGTTTTTTTCTATAAAAAGAATTGTTTCTGAAAGCCTCTTCCACCCATCCAAACATCCAGCCAGCCAGCCAGACACTCAATAAACATTTTTCTACTGTGTTACCAGGTACTGTGCAAGGTGGTGGCCCACAAATCCATTTAAGTAATGCTCAGACACTGGCTTAGTGCAACTAAGAATCAAAGTTTCTTTTTCTACACAGTTGTAAGAAATAGTATAAAGCTATGGTAATTATTATAAAAACATGAGCTTAATGCAGGAATAGGCAAGTATATCAGAATAATGAGTCCAGAAACTGATACAGATATAAGTAGAAATTTAATACACAATAGAGGCAGCATCTCAAATCAGCTGGAGAAAGAATGAGCTATTTGATAAATGATGATGGAAAATATGACTATCCACTTGCAAAAATAGATCTCATTCCATTTCATGTCACTAACAAAAGCAAATCTTGTTAAATTAACCTAAATTTGGCCTAAGGATGCCTGTTTTCTTGAGTCCTTATATAACGAAATGGAGCCTTAGTTCATTAACTGAAAACCTAACTTAGTAGTTAACTTTTGTAATAAATAGCTGAGTCTCAGTTGTTTACAGGAGCCAAGAATTCTACCGCAGGTGGTTAACAGATTGAACTAAGGCAAAGCACCAAGCTGTAATCAATTAAATTGTCTGCATACCTCACTTCCATTCTCTGTCCATAAATGCTCCCTGGCCATGTTGCTGGCCAGTGTTCTTTGTACATATTCTGGTTCTGAGTACTGCCTGATTTTATAATTATGAATAAAAACCAATTAAGATCTTTAAATTTAAAAAAAAATAACAAAAAACGATCTTTAAGCCCATAGCACAGTGGCTACGGCGCCAGCCACATACACTAAGACTGACAGGTTCGAACGTGGCCTGGGCCAGCTAAACAACAAAAAATACCTGGGTGTTCTGGTGGGCACTGTAATCCCAGCTACTTGGGAGCCTGAGGCAAGAGAATCACTTAAGCCCAAGAGTTTGAGGTTGCTGTGAGCTGTGACACTACAGCACTCTACCAAGGACCACATAGTAAGACTCTGTATCAAAAAAAAAAATCTGGCTCGGCGCGTGTGGCTCAAGTGGCTAAGGCGCCAGCCACATACACCTAAGGTGGCGGGTTCGAATCCCCAGCCCAGGCCTGCCAAACAACAATGATGGCTGCAACCAAAAAATGGCCAGGCGTTGTGGCAGGCGCCTGTAGTCCCAGCTACTTGGGAGGCTGAGGCAGGAGACTCACTTGAGCCCAGGAGTTGGAGGTTGCTGTGAGGGTGATGCCACAGCACTCTACCCAGGGGGACAGCTTGAGGCTCTGTCTCAAAAAAAAAAAAAACGAAACAGATGTGAAGCCACAGCATTCTACCCAGGGGGATAGCTTGAGGCTCCGTCTCAAAAAAAAAAAAAATCTTTGGGTGGTGTCTGTGGCTCAAAGGAGTAGGGCGCTGGCCCCATATGCCAGAGGTGGTGAGTTCAAACCCAGCCCTGGCCAAAAAAAAAAAAACTTTAAATTTGTCATGATTGTGCCTTTTGATACTCTGCATAAATTAAATAATTACATGTGTTTTGGGAAATATGTATACACACTTCTTTGGGTACTGTGTTAGTCTGCTAGGCCTGTCATAACAAAGTACCACAGGCTGGGTGGCTTAAACAACAGAAATATGTTTTCTCACAGTTCTGAAGGATAAAGTCCACAGTCAAGATGTTGGCAGGATGGTTTCTTCTGAGGCTTCTCTTTTTTTGCAGTTTTTGGCTTGAGCCATAGGCACTGGCCTTCTGAAGCTTCTCTTTGTCTTACAAATGGCTGCCTCCTCTCTGTTTCTTCATGTGGTCTTTACTGTTAACATGCATTTGTGG